AAACTCTCCTCTTTCACACTCTTCAAGAGGTTTCTTCATTCCTCTTCACTTTCTGCCATCAGAGTAGTACTGTCTGCATATCTGACATTGTTTCTATTACCCCTGGCAACCTTAATTCCAGCTTTCAATTTATCCAGCCTGGCATTTCATATAATGTACTCTGCATATAAGTTATGTAAATAAGGTGATTATATACAGCCTTGTCATACCCTTTTTCCAGTCTTACACCAATCAGTTCTTCCACATTGGGTTCTAACTGTTGCTTCTTGACCTGCATATGGGTTCCTCAGGAGACAGGTAAGATGATGTGGCACTCCCATCTCTTTGAGAACTTGCCACATTTTGCCGTCATACACACAGTCAAAGGCTTCAGTAGTCAGTGGGGAAGAGTAGATGTTTTTCTGGAACTTCCTTTGCTTTCTCCACAATCCAGTGAGTGTTGGCAATTTGGTCTCTAGTTCCTCTGCCTCTTTGAAAACCAGCCTGCTCTTCTGGTAATTCTTGGGTCATATACTGCTGAAGCCTAGGTTGCAAAATCTTAAGCATAACCTTGCTAGAGTGTGAAATGAGCATAGTTGTTCAGTAATTTGAACGTTCCTAAGCATTGCCCTTCTTTAGGATTGAAATGTAAACTGATCTTTTCCAATCCAGTGGCCACTATTGGATTTTCCAAATTTGTTGGCATATTGGGTACAGCACTCTAACAGCATCATCTTTTATAGTCTTAAATAGCTCAGCTGGAATTCCATGTTAGCAGTGCTTCCTGAGGCCCGCTTGACTTCATTCTCCAGGAAGTCTGGCTCTAGATCAGTAAGCATTTCATCCTCTTATTGGTGGTGTTAGCATCTTTCTTATGTAGTTCTTTTGTGTATTCTTGCCACCTCTTCTTAATCTCTTCTGCTTCTGTTAAATCCCTGCTATTTTTGTCTTTTACCATGCCCATTTTTGCACGAAACTTTCCCTTGATAATCTCTAATTTTCTCTGGAAGAAGAGATCTTTTGTCTCTCGCAGTATGCTGTTTTCTTCTGTTGCTTTGCATTGTTCACTTAAGAGAACTTTCTGGTCTCTCCTGGCTATTCTCTAGAACTCTGCATTCAGTTGTGTATATCTTTCTCCTTCTCCTTTACCTTCATCTTTCTGTATTTCCTCAGCTATTTGTAAAGCCTCATCAGGCAGCCATTTTTCTTTTTTTGCTCTTTTTTTTCCTTTGGAATGTTTTTTTGTTTTGCTTCCTGTGCAAAAAATTATGAACTCCTGTCCATAGTTCTTGTACTCTATCTTCCAGACCTCAGCCCTTAGACCTATTCATCACCTGCACTTCATATTCTTAAGGTCATACCTAGATGATCTGATGATTTTCCCTACTTTCTTCAATTTAAGTCTGAATGTTACAATAAGAAGCTCTTGATCTAATCTAGTCAGCTCCAGGTCTTGTTTTAACTGACTATATAGAGCTCCTCACCTTTCACTGCAAAGTATATAATTGATCTGGTTTCTATATTGACCCTCTGGTGATGTCCATGTGTAGTTGCCTTTTGGGCAGTTGAAAAAGAAAAAAAAGTTTGTTATGACCTATGAGTTATTTTGACACACTTATATTAGTCAATGCCCTGCTTCATTTTGTGCTCAAAGGCCAAACTTGCCTGTTGTTCCATTTATCTTTTGATTTCCTACCTTAGCATTCCAATCAACTATGATGAATGTGGCATCTTTTTTTGGGGGGGGTGTTATTACTAGAAGATGGTGGCAGTCTTCATGGAACTGATCAACTTTGGCCTCTTAGGGAATCAGTTTTTAGAGCATAGACTTGTGTTACACTGATGTTAAATGATTTGCCTTGGATTCGAACAGATATCATTCAGTCCTTTTTTGAGCTTATACCCCAGTTCTGCTTTTCTCATCCTTTTATTAACTATGAGGGCTATTCTACTTCTTTTAAAGGAATTCTTGCCCGTAGTAGTATGTGTTGTAATCATCTGAATTTAACTTACTCATTCCCATCCATTTAAGTTCACTGACAACTAATTTATCAATATTTAATCTTTCCATCTCCTTTTGGACTCTATCAGCTTACCTTAGTTCATGGATCTTACATTCCAAGTTCCTGTGCAGTATTGATCTTTACAGTCTCAGACTTTCTTTTCATCTCTACGTCTCTAGATACATCCACATCTGAGCTTGCTTTTGGCTTTGGCCCAGCCACTTCATTAGTACTAGAGCTACTTGTAGTTGTCCTCTGCCTTTCCCCAGTAGTGTATTGGACACTTTCCAACCTGAGGAACTCATCTTCTGATATCTCTTATATCCAATCCATAGGGTTTTCTTGACAAATACTGGAGTGGTTTGCCATTTCCTCCTCCAGTGGATGGATCACCTTTTGTCCCTCTATATCTTGGTAATATCATCTGATTGCATGGGTTTAACTATCATCCCTGCAGAGATGACACACCTGTATGCAGCGCTGTTCTCTCCTTTGAGCTTCAGACTTGCATCACCTGTTACTTGTTTGCCGTTTTAACCTGAATGTCTTAGAGACATCTTTTACTCAACATGTCTAAAACTGAATTCATCTTTCCCCCTAAACCTTCCTCTCTTTCATATTTTCTGTTTCTGTCAAACACACTACAATCCTTCCAGTCTCTGAGATTTATAATCTTGATGTTGTTTTGTATTCCTCACCCTCCTTCACCTCACATTTAATCAGTTGCCAAATCTTGCTATTCCTACCTTAATACCACTTCTTGCCTCCAATCCCTTCTCTTTACTCATACAATTATTACCTTAGTTCAGACCTTCATTACCTTTGATCTAGATTATTGCAACATTCTCCTAATTGGTCTTCCTATTTTGAGTTTCTTTCTACTCCAGTGTACGTCCACACTGCTGTTGAAGTGATTTTCCTTAAGCCTAGATCTGACCATGTCCAGAGGCTTCCTGTTGCCTCTGGGATCAAATATGAATTTTTCTATTTAGCTTTTAAAGTTATATATGACCTGGACCCCAACCTATCTTTCCTGCCTCCGTAGAAATTATTTTCCTTTTTTGTACTCTGCAGTCTGGACAAATTGAACTCCTCTGTTTCATACCCATGGCATTCCAGGTCCCACCTCTTTGCCTTCATAAGTAGCCATTCCAAATACCTGGAATGCATTCCTTCTTTACCTCAGATTCTCTTTAAGATGGGACCCAGACACTATCTTCTGCATGATGTTTTTCTTAATCTACCCCTCTCCTCAACTGCTAGTGCCCTCCCTTCCACAGTACTTACACATACATACATACATACATACATACATGCATACGTATGTGTAGGTATATGTATTTACATATATATATGTTCATTAACTTCATATTTATGATATATATGTTATATCTATATTTTAATGGTGTCTACCCATTAGAATGTAAGCTCCATGAACATAGGGATTATTTGTTTTTTTATATTTGTATCCTCATTACCCATTATAGGTACTTTAAAAATACTTGTGGGTTGATTGGGTTATTTAACTTTTAAATGATTGACCTATGATAATTTGCTCAAGAAAATTTAATGAGGGAGGCAACATTACAATTGAAAGAACTCTGTCCAGAAGAGGATCTTTGTCGTAGCTCTCTTCTTCATACAAGCTAAAGGAACCTTGAACAAATTGATGTACTAACACTCCTGTTGTCTCATCTGTCAAATGAGGAGGTTTGAGTATTGATATTTAAAGTCCTTTGGATATATATAAAGTACAGGTTGTCATAGTTCCAAAAGCATACTGGACTTGGAACCTAGAAGATCTGGGTTTGAATTGTTTCTTTGACCACTAGTTGTGTAACCTCTCTTTCCCCATCTGCAAAATGGGGATAATCATTCCTATAGTAATAATAATAAAATCCTTTTCCACTTGAATATTTTATGATATACTAGTTTTTGAATACAGAGTAGGTTTCCTGTCTGTTTTATCTTGTTTTATGAAGTATACAACATTAGATTACACTGGACATGCATATGTACACTTTCTGTAGCTATATATGTGTGTGTGTACTATGAACACTTATTATTTGAACATAACTTATTTTTATATAATATGGATATTTTTTACTTTTCACTTCTCAAGAATATGTCATTATTGAACATGATGGTCCTTTCTGTAGAAGATAATTATGTTTATAACCACGATTCATAGAATATCTAATAAATTAGGAGGTGAAGCTAAAAGAAGCCCATTTTTATCAGATTTCTTATTTGGGTCCTTCTAGAAATTCCTTTATTTTTCTCAGTATTTTTATTTGAGTGGTGATCTGTACCTCTGTTATCTATATAGTTGAGTATCAGAGGCAAGGAGAAGTAACGATCCTTTCTTTCATTTTTTGTGTCTTTTTCAGTGTTTAGTATAATATGTATAATGAGGCAGCTAGTTGGTGCTGTGGATAGAGCACTGGGCCCTGAGTCCAGGAAAACCTGTTAAAATACAGGCTCAGACACTTAACAGCCCTGTGACCCTGAGCAAGTCACTTTAACCTTTGTTTGCCTCATCTTCATCATAAAATGGGAATAAAAACAGCACCTACCTCCCAGGGGGTTGTGAGGATCAAGTGAGATAATATTTGTGTTAGGCACTGAGCTAAGTGCTTTTTATATACTAGGAGCTATGTAAATGCTTGTTCCCTTTCTCTTCCCTTCCCATGTCTTATCCGTGGTACACACTTAGTGTTTTTTCAGTTAAACGGTTAATCTCATTTTGAATTTTTTTCCAGTTCCAATAAGAATTCGATTTAATCTATTAAAATAAAATCCTTATGTAGAAGGAGAATTTAGTTTCTCATGTTCTTATCTTCAATTAGCACAATTTAGTATCAATTATATGTATCCTTACAAGCCATACCAAGGATTATTTAAAATGAATAATGTAGAAATCAGTGAGTAGTATCTTAGAAGCTTGAAGTTGTTATTTTAAAGGAATATTGGTTTACATACATATGTTAATAAATTTCTTTCTATGCCCTTTTTCAGGATAAAGAATTGTTCTCAGGATTTCAAGAAGACGGTTGGTCAGCAGATTGTTGGTTTAGAAAATTCATCCACTCTCCACAGTCCTATTCTGAACCCATCGGCAGTTGTGACAGTATGAAAAATGTTATTTTCTTAGAATGGATACAGGCAAATGTTTTCATTCTGTCTCTTGGCTTATTTCATCTCTTATTTTTAGCTATCTGGTACCTTAGTGGTTTTCATTTTTTAAAAATTGCTGTGTTTCTGTTTCCTTAACTATGTTTTTCTCCATTCGAATTTTCTTCCCCCACCTCTAACCTACCTTATTCTTACCTTACTATTTGCTTTTTTAAGGTTTTTTTTTGTTTGACCTTCTAACTTCTTTTTTTCTTCATTTCTCTTTCATTGTCTTCTCTATAGCCTATATAAGCCATGCTTTCCAGAATATAGATGTTAAAGTATAAACTTCTAAAGCCCTAAGTACATTCTTTTTATTCTTTATTTTTGGTTTTTAAAAATCTCTACCTGCATTTTTGAGAGGGTAGGAAATCTGATCTTTAATCCAAATAATCTTAACTCTAATGTAAAATGTCTTGATTTTATTTTTTAAGGAAAAAATCAGCTATATAATATTGGACAAGAAACTTAACTTTTCTAGGCCTTAGTTTTCTGTGAAGTATTTGGCCTACATGGTCCTCAAAGTTCCTTCCAACTTTAATCCTGTAATGCTGTAAATTCTGTTTTAGTTTAGTGTCACCAATAACCAACCCCAAAACCCTATTGTGATGTCATTATATGTTAGTGCCAGGCAAATTTACTTAGTTTCTCTATTTCCATCCTTTATTATCATGTATTTTGATATCTGAAATTTGATGGTTTTTTTACCCTCTTAAAACAGTAGTTCATAGGTGAATATGATGTTGTAATATCAATTGTGCTGCTTTTTACTATTAGGAAGTTATTTTATTTCCCCTTAGGAAACTAAAACAACACAAGAAATAGATGAAGCTTTGAAGATAGCTGGTTATAATTTTGAACAATTAAGTGCCACAGAAAAGGTAAGCTAAATAGATGTTGGTTATTGTCCCTGTCATATAAAGTATTCTTGTTTTTATGGATTAAAAAAGGCGTATGAAAAAGGTATACACACACACACACACACACACACACACACAGTTCCTCTCACGTTCCCATTTTGATGTGGCACTAACCAAAATAGAGTGTATGTATTTTCACACGAGCAAATTTCACCTCAGCCATTATTAGGTCTTAGCTGAGATTTTGTATAATTCAGTAGTATCTCTGTACATGCAAATACTTCATAGGAAATACTCCCCTCAATAAGCTAACAGGCTGATTAGTAGAATATTATTGATATCCAGAAAGAAATGAACATGCTTTTTTGAGGCTTCCATTTGTGGACTTCATAATAATAATTCAGTATTTTTTTAAAATGTCCAAAACTCATACAAAATGCTTTATTCCTTGATTTTGGATGCGTGATGAACTTGAGGTATTATTGTAGGAGAGCAGTTGCAATTGGAATTTTTTCCACAAATCATTGAACATACCTACTGATTATGCCTAGCATTTTGTGAATAGGTACATCATGGCGTAGAAGGAATAAATACTGTCGATGGTAATATCTGTCAACAAAATCCATCTTTTTCCTGAATGCCAGGCAGAAGAAGCAAGAGGAAATAGAAAAGAAGAAATAGAAGGAATAAATGCTAATCCACTGCAGTGGTAGTCATATGTGCTTATAGGGGCAGTGAATAGCAGAGAAAAGAGCCAGTAAACAAATGAAAAAAGAGAAGAATTCTTTACCTTTAGGAACAGAAAGCCCTCTGATTTCTAACATAGCATCTTCTAAACTAGTTTGGACATAGAAATTTTTTTCCCTTGGAATTTGCTAACAATGCCCATGAATAAAGAAAATTGTGGTGTAAAATGAAGAAAATTTTGAGCCTATTATACTGAAAATTACTCTCTAATTAGTTGGTTTTTTATACATAATTTCATATTTTAAAGGAGAAAATACTACAGAAAAATCCTATTCACAATATGTAGCAGCTTAGGAACTAATACTTTATAAGCATTACTGCTACACTGGAAGAACATTAAAGAACAACTCTTTGTTATTATAGAGAAGCAGAGAGAGATTTGGGTGCAGAAGAGATGAAATCCAGACTCAGATACTTACTGTTACCTTAGGCAAGTCACTTAACCTCTGCCTCAGTTTCCTCATCTGTAAAATGGGGATAATAATAGACCCTACCTCACAGCATTGTTGTGAAGATAAAAAGATATTTATTAAGTGCTTGGCACACTGCCCAGCATAGCATATGATAGGTGCTCTATAAATGTTAACTGCCATTATCGTTAGCCACTAAGAGAATCAGTGGTTCACGTTAAAGGTATATAGCTAGGAGAAAAGATACTGTATTCCTAAACACTAGTAGAACTAAGTCTGAGCAGATTTAATGTCTAATTTTTTTTTATTTACCTGCCTACCAATGATATCTACTTATCTGCAGGATGTTGGGCCAGGATGTTGAATATAAATTATTAAAAATTAGATTTTTATAGAAAATATATAGCATTAGAGCTTGCATTAACAAATTTGTTCTGCTAAAGCTTACAGTTTTTAATTTCTTTATCTTTACAATTCTACTTAAAAGTCAAATAATAGAGAACTTAAAACTATCTTAGTGTCGTGTGTTGGAGTGTTACCTATAGAGTAACACTTTAGAGTAAGCCTTTACGAAAATGCTCTTAACATGTATTTTTTTAACGGCAAAGGATATTTCTTCACACCCCAGTGCAAACAAACAGTGCAAGTGAGAAAGAATGGGCATAGGCTAGATAGGAGGTCCTTGTTATCCACACGCTGTGTTAATGGAAATAGTAAGTGAAGGTAACATTTTCCATAGTACTGACAAGTCAAAGTACACTGCTGTCAACAGTGAAAATGTTGGGATTGTTTTTTACCCCTGAAGGGCAAGAAAACCACTTTGGAAAAAAAAAAGACTGCTTTAGTGGTTAAGTCTTCAGTTTTTCAGGATTTCAGAGTTGGAAGGAACCTCAAAGGTCTTCTGGTCAAACTCAAATGCTAATCCCTTCTCAGCATCCTTCCCAACATGTCTCCACTTGATCTCCAGCAATGGAAAATTCACTACCTCCCCAGGTCTTCATTGTACTTTTTGAGAGCTCTCAATATTATAAAGCTTTTCTTAAATGGAGATGAAATCTGACTCTGAAAGTTGGACCTCTTCTCTCTTGGATCAAGCAAAACAAGACTAATTCCTCTTCTTCATGACAGCCCTTCAGATAGTTGACTCTTTCATGTATGTCTTCTTTTATTCAGGCAATGTCCTTAATTTTTTTGAATAGATCTTTATATGATTATTATTTTCTCAGTCTCATTCTCCTACCTCTGGACATGGCTTTAAGTAATAAATATCCTTCCTTACTCTCCAGTGTCTGGCAGAATGCAGCAGTGTTTTTAATGCCTTTGTTCTGAACATTCTGCTTTATTAAAGTACCGTGGATTAACTTTTTTAGCTACCATATCACACTGACTCATTCAGCTTGCATCCTCAAAATTTTCAGTCTTTTCCATAACAGCTAATTCTTTACCATGCCTCCTTTATCATGTGGTAGTGTGGTTACAGTGGAACCTCAGAATCTGGGTTCAAATCTTGCCTCATAGCTTGCATAACATTGGCCAAGTCATTTAACTTTTCTGAGCCTCAACTTCCCCACTTGTAAAATGAGCAGTTGGACCAGATAGCCTTTAAAGTCCCTTCAAGCTCTAAATCTATGAGCTTGTATACAGTTTTTTAACTCAAGTATAGAACTTTTATCTATTATTAAATTTTATCTTAACTCATTGGCCTATTTCTCTAGCCAAGATGTTTTTAGATAATGATTCTCTGTAGTATTTTACTTATCTCCCCTAGCTTCATGTTAGAGCCCTTTTGTACCACCTACAATACTATTGTTTATCCGTATTTGAGCCACTTGTATTTAGCAGATGATCAAAAAGTAAGTTGATAGGATTTTTTTTTGTTTTCGTTATTGTTTTTCAAGAAAGTCCCAGGTCAACTACTAAGGTCAGTACCCAATTAGTCCTATATCCCACATTATGAAAATCCTCTACATAGCATTTATTGATGTTCATAATAGCAGTGCTAAATGGTAGGGTGGTCTGGTTTTGTTTTTCAGAACTTTAACATATTGCCAATATACTATATTAAGGAAAGGAAACACAAGTGTTAGATTTCCATTTTTTTTAAAGTTTACAGAATTCCTGAACCTAAAGGATTTCCCATAGTGATCTGGAAAAAAATTGGTTATCCAGAACAAACATTCCTTGAGGCATTCCCACTAGAGATGAATGGTTTTACTCTTCTCTTAGACAGAAGATAGAAAATCACAAGACACCATGATAGATCAGTCCCAAATTTTGATTGATCTCTTTTACCAAGTTTATTTGTACATACTGTCAAGTATTCAAGTTATTGGATCTAGAAAATTAGCATCAGAGTTGAAAAATAAATCTAGATAGACTTTTCTAGAATAGTTGAATGTTCATGTCCTTTCCACCCCACCCCATGATGACTTAAAAGGAAAGTAATAAATAATTTCTCGATTATGATCCAGCCTACTTTTATCCTGTTCAATTCTTTAATTAGTTCATTGTCTACCTACAGTACCTTTCCAGGATTTTGTGTCCTAATTAACTCAGTGTGCTATCCATCCAACTCTGTGTTGTCATTGGAAATAAGCATTCTTTATATACTTGTTTTTTCCTGAAAGAATCACCACGCTTGTGTCACCTAAACAGACATGGATCTCATTGAGAAGCCTTTCTGGAACTCCAGGGCTTAATTCAATGAATACAGTGCAAGTAGGAACAACTGGAGAACCTCCCCAGCTAAATTCTTGAATTTGTAAAAATGGTCTATTTTTATGCTGCACCTCTCTTCTCAGGGCACTTCTGTTTCTTCAAATCTCAGAACATCCTTATCTCAAAATTGTAAGTGAGCCAGAGGGCAGTAGAAAAATATCATTGGTGAGCATGAGCCCCATTCAGTGTAGAGATATAACTTTATACAACACCTGGTACTTACTCAAAAGCTCTTAAAAATGCTTTCAGACTTGGATTCAGATCCTAAATCAGTCATGACTTAGGCCTTTAACAAGTGAGTTCACCTCCCTGGGCCTTGGTCTCTTGTATGTAAAATGGGCTAGATGATCTTCAAGTTCTCCCCATCTCTATGTGCATGACTCTTGACTCTCAGTAATCTGTGAATTATACTGTCTGCATAAGAAGTATTGAAAAGATGTCACTAAAGAGATGTTTGACTCAAAAAAGGAAATAGGTTGGTCACGTGATGAGAGCAGGGAGTAACAAACTGCCAGAAGGTTAAAATTTCATGGATATATTAACTTGGAGGTCTCTACCACATTGGATATACCCTATATAAAAGATTTATAGAAAATAAATTTATGCAGCTTAAAGTATAGGCAAGTTGTGATTTACCTTCGTGGAACTAAGTGCCTACCCATCAATAGGGATAAATCTGATCTAGGAAACAGCAGTTGTTTACTTTTTTATGATGATGTTGTGAAAGACTTACCCTGTGTAAAGATAAATTGTTAACTTTACAAATATTTTTTAAAAACAACTAGATGCTAGAATGCCTAGAAAACCAAACAAAACAAGAAACAGACTGCATTCTAGAGGTTCTTGAGGAAAAATTTCATCAGCTTTTTACTTCACTCAAGTCGAGGTAAGCAAACTTCTAGAACGTTCAGTTGGTCAAAATAACAAATTTTTAAAGTTAAGATAATGTCTTGACTAAAGAAAAAGAAGTTGCCATTGTGATGTTCACCTTTAATTAGATGTTATCTTATGTTGTAATTTAAAATGAGTACACTTGTCAGAAATCATACCTGGACCTTGATGCCAAAACTAACCTCAAACAAGGTGAATCCATATGTGAAGTTCTGATGTATTCTCCTTTCCTTATTCTTTGTATCCTTTTTCAAAATAAATTTGTATTGATATTTTTCGTTTCTACTTTGCCCAAACTTCCCCCCATATAGTCTTCCGCCTCTCTTTATCCAGAGAGCCATCTCATATAACAAATAATTTTTTTTTCAGAAAAAAGGGGGAGGGAGAAAAAATAACAGCAAAACTGGAAAAAAAATCTGACAGTGTTATGTTCCACAGCTGTAGATGCTCTTGCCCTAGTCCTCTGTCTGAAAAGGAATGAGGGAGGGAAGTATTTTTATTTCAATCTTTGGGGCCAAGATTATTCTTTGTAGTTTTACAACATTGATTTTTGTTATGTGGTGCTGGTTCTTTTCATTTACCTTATCATTGTCTTGTATATTCTTTTCTTGGCTCTTAATTCCTTGTTTTGCATCATTTCATATGTATTTCAAGCTTCTCTGTATTCTTCGTGTTCACCACTTGTTATAGCACCGTAATAATATATTATATTCATGTACCATATAATTTGTTTAGTCATTCTCCAGTTGATGGGCATCTACTTTGCTTTCCAGTTTTTTGATATCACAGAAAGAGCTGCTATAAATATTTTGTGTATTTGGACCTTTGAAAAACATATGACCTTTTTCTTGACAAAGGTCTTTAGGAGTGTATTTAAAACACTGAGTTCCTAAGGAAACATGCAAGACTTGTGGAGAGACAAGTATACCTTTCAGTGTGTGAAGATTCTGTCAGATTAGAAACCTGTATGATATGGATCCTAATACCTTACATTTCTATAAAGCTTTATACTTTTATCAAAATTGTTTTTCCCTTGGGCTAAAGTTTTAATTTTTAGCTATAATATGTATTTATAGTAGAAATTGAGTGTATCATTCAAAGGAAATCTTTATGTAGAAGTAATTGCATGATACAGTTGTTAGCATCTAAAAATGGCTTTCTCAATATAAACTTTTTAAAAATCTGACACGGTTATTGAAAATTAAAATAAATCTAAATGCCTACAAAACTTTGTTATCTTTACTGAAGGAAAAGATGTCTGTATGAAGAAGTTGTAAGAAATACAGAGGACTATTTAGGTGATATCATAACGGCCAAAAAATACATTGAAGGGAAAAAAAATGATCTGGATGCAGCTATGAGAATAGCAAGAGAATTGAAAATGGCACCTTCCCTAAGAAAATATTGTGACTTGAATCAGGTAATTTTGAAAATTCATGTAAAATTAAATGTTTTTGTGGTGATTAATTTTGCATGTTTTTTGAAGCTAGAGGAAGTCTGGGAACATGATTTCATGATTAAACACGAAAATTGATTAAGACAATCAGCAAATCAGTCAGCAAACATTTATTAAGCACTTAGTTATAAGGCATTATCCTAAGCCTTGGACAAACTTTTCTTTTTCCTTTTTTTTTTTTTTTTGCCCCAACAAGCATTTTTTAAGGCTTTCTACATGCCGGGGACTGTGTTAAGCAGTTAGGGACATCAAAACAAATTTTAGAACAGTGCCTGTCATCAATAAGCTTATATTCTGCTGGGGCAGACAACAGATAAATATGTATTTATGCAGAATACATGCAAAATAGATTTTGATCCTAGTTTTCATCCTGGAACCTCTTGCCATTTGTAAGTTTTGTTGAGATCTCTAAGAACATAGATTATAAAACATATTTAACCTTTGTTAGTGTTACTGAGCAAAAAAACAATCTTCAAGATACTGCCTTGGGCGTATATACAACCAGCAAACCCAGCCCACAGTCTTTGGATACATTATGACATTATTGGGAGCACTGACTTCTGACCAGAAGAAACAGGGAAATTGTGTGTGTACATTCCTGCTCTGCCATAATAAATGACTGTTGGTTTGTTGATTTTCAGAAAAAGGGTGGGAGGGAGGAGTTGTGGGAGTTAGAATCAGTACCTAAGGAGAGAGAAATATCACTTGTATCCCCTTTTAACACTAGTCCAGAGACCCTTTCATTGTCTTAGCATGCCAGGAAACATGTTTTTAGCCATGTACTTTGTACTGTCATACAGCTGTGGTTTTGAAGTGGGGAGGATGGAGATAGCCTTTTGAGGTCACCTTGACATCGCAGTCAAAGAAATGGATAGTTAAAAGTTACTGGGGAGCAGCTAGGTGGTGTAGTGGATAGAGCACCGGCTCTGGAGTCAGGAGGACCAGAGTTCAAATCCCACCTCAGACACATAACCCTCATTAGCTGTGTGACCCTGGGCAAGTCACTTAGCCCCAATTGCCTCACCAAAAAGAAACAAAAAAATCAAAAGTTACTGGAACACCCTTGTTTCCTTAATCCTTTTAATTTTCTTTTATTTTTAGTGTGTATAGGTGTTCTTATTTGTTAAATTGAATTTAAAAAGGGCAGCAGGTAGTTCAGAGTACTAGGCCTGGAGTTAGGAAGACCTGAGTTTAAATCTGGCCTCAGATACTTCCTAACTGTGTAACCCTGGGCAAGTCATTTTACCTCTGATTTCTTGACAAAATGGATCCACTGGAGAAGGAAATGTCAAACTATTATGTTATCTTTGCCCAAAAAAACCCCAACTAGTGTCACAAAAGGTTGGACTCGACTGAATAGCAACAAAAATTGAATTAAATTCCTTTAACTTCCACAACTAGGTTATAAACTTAGGAGTGTTGACTGTCTCACATTTTTTTCATCTCCAATACCTAACAGTGAATTGTATCTATTAAGCACTCAGAGAATACTGATTTGATGATTAGCTGTGCTGGGTGTTCCCATCAGAAGGTGGAATGAATGTTGCCTCTTATTTTCCTTTGGAGATCTTACTTCTGTTTCACATTTTTCCCAGAAAACAGCCACACTTTTTTTCAAGAGAGCCGCCAGACTTAATTTCGTAAATTACTAATTGATATGTCTTTTAATTACAGATAATCCGCACTTTGAAGTTGGCATTTGAGAGTGAATTGTCAAAAGTGAGTTCTCTGAAATTCAGAAGCTTTCTCAGGTGAATAATTTTTTAGAAGAACACATAGCTATTAGATATTTTAAAATGCATGCTAGTTGAGTTTAAATTTGATCAGAAGTGATACATTGAACTTTTGGGGTTTTCCTAAGTAACTTAGTTACAATTATAAAAATTAGGAATTATTATTTTTGTCTTAAGTATTGGCTATTTATTTGTTTTTTAATCTGATGAAATTGATTAAAGTCCAACACGTTCTTTTTTTATAGGTTGAAAATGAATTGTAATGAAATTATCTGTATGTTTAAAAATATGGGGAAGATTGAATTTGAAGAAACTTCAAAGTAAGTCTTTTATTTTAGAATGGCAAAATAATTTTTCAGTCTGATATGGCCTATTTCACAGAATATGCCAAAAATTCATATGAAATGTGAGACATTGAAAGATTTACAATTTCATCATCTTTTTAGGTGGGTTAGAGATGCAGTGAATAAAGTGCAAGACCTGGAGTCAGACTTTAAAAATGTGTGACCCTGGGCAAATCACTCAGCTTCTGTTTGCCTCGGCTTCCTTGATTGTAAAATGAGGATAATAGCACCTACTTCATAGGGTTTTTGATAGGATTAAATAAGAGAATATTTATACAGTGCTTAACACAGAGCCTAGCACACAGTAGCAGCTTTATAAATGCTTATTCCTTTCCCCTTTGTGATTCTCGTCTGTCTTTACCAATAAATATAATCCCAACATAATGTAATAGAATACTGGAAATTATTTTAAAAATTTAAAAATGCGCTAAATTTTGTTAATGCTTTGAATTTAGCACTTCAGAGATCCTTTGTAAAATATTACAGAATGTAAAATACCACCAAAGAGACTGAGGGTAGGAATATCTGGGTTATATAACTTCACATATGTGTTTGAGACCTTGGTAATCATGACTTCTAGCCCCGTTATTTCAGAGATGTAAATACCAGGTCCTAGAAAATTAAGAATCTGCTAATAAATGAGAATTTCACATTATGAAGGGATAGGTAGTGTCAGCGTAGGCATGAAGATTTGAGGACAGAAAAAGGAGACGAGGTCCCCTCAAATTGCAATACCCAGAGCCCATCTCTAAAGTTCACCCTACATTTGTAAATGAAGGCTTAGAATCTACAGTCAAAATCACCGAAGATAGCCCTATATTTAACATCCTGTTTAATGGATTCATTAGTGAATTTTAAAGGGCAATGCGGTTTTCTTAGTTTCTAATTTAATTAAAAAATTTTTATAGTTTAACATTCTTTTTTTTTTTTTAAAGATTTTGACTTGCAAATTCTCTCCCTCCCTCCAGCCCCTTCTCCACCCATTGAGAAAGCAAGCAATATGCTATCAATTATGCATGTGAAGTCATGCAAAACCTATTTTCATATTAGCCATATTGCCAAAAAAAAGGCAAGAAACAGTAAGTAAAAAAAAAAGTATGCTTTAATATGCACTCAGAGGCCATCGATTCTCTTTGTGGATGTAGATATCACTTTTTGTTGTGAGTCTTGGAATCATTGGCTTGGATCATTGGTTTGATCAGAGTAGTTAAGTCTTTCACAATTGAGCACTGTCACAATATTTCTGTTATTGTGTGCAAAGTTCTCCTGGTTCTGCTCACTTCACATTAATTCATATAAGTCTTCCCAGGTTTTCTGAAACCATCCCCATCCCCACCCCCACCCCCCCAAACATTTCTTATAGCACAATAGTATTTCATCAGTCACATACCACAGTGTTCAGCCATTCCCCAACTTATGGGCATCCCCTCAATTTCTATGTCACCACAAAAAGAGCTGCTATAGATAATTTTGTACATATAGGTCTTTTTCCTTTTTCTTTGATCTCTTTGGGATATAGACCTAGTGGTGGTATGGCTGGGTCCAAGGGTTTTATAGCTCTTGGGCATACTTCCAGATTATTCTTCAGAATGGTTGGACTAGTTCACAGCTCCACATTAGCAGCCCTATTTTTCCATATCCCCTCCAACATTTGTCCTTTTCCTTTACTTTCCTGTTAGGCAATTCAGTAGGTGTGAAGTACCTCAGAGTTGTTGTAATTTGCAATTCTCTAATTATTAGTGACTTAGAGCATTTTTTCATATGACTGTTGATAGCTTTGATTTCTTCTGAAAACTGCCTGTTCATATCCTTTGACCTTTTGTCAGTTGGAGAATGGCCCTCATTTTTATAAATTTGGCTCAATTATATATTTAAGAAATGAGATCTTTAGCAAAAAAAAATTCTGTCAGCTTTTTTTTCCACTTTTGGATGCATTGGTTTTGTTTGTGTAAAACCATTTTAATTTTGTGTAATTTGTGTTGAAAAAAAAATTTTTAATTTCATAAAATTGTCCACTCTACTTCTTCTCTATCTCTTGTTTGTTCCTAAATTCTTCCGTTATCCATAGATCTAACATGTAAATTTTTCTTGCTTCCCTAATTTGCTTATGCTGTCTCTCCTTGTGTTCAAATCATGTACCTCTTTTGACCTTATTTGGGATACAAGGTGAGATGTTGGTGAATGCCCTAATTTAATTTTAATATGAAAACTACTTTAAGAAAAATCTCTGCCTCTCTTGTTTTAAAATCTAAATGAATAGGGAAAACATAAATTCTGATCAAGATGTGCAAAATAAACAGTGTTCTGCTATATGAAAAATAAAATTAATGGTTTCTATGAATTAATTAGAACTTCAAAATATATCTGTTTTAACATGATTCTTAAATAACACCTCTACCTTGAAGTTTTTCCTGTGTATTCCCCCCGATAGTTCTTTCTTATTAATTAACTATGATAAAATTTTGATAGACTTTTATTTAAAATCAAAAAACCTTACATGCAGAAAATAACTTGGAGGTGATATTTTGCTGAAGAGAAAACTGAAGCTTAAGAGAAATTACTAGTCCAGCATCATATGGCAAGTTAATAGTAAACTAGAACCCAGGTCTCTTGACTTCCAGCTCTTTTTTCAATAAGCTATACCACTTAACACTAAGAACTTGACATGAAGAAATAAGCCAGGGTTTTTCCAGAGACAGAAAAATCCATTACTTCTAAGAGACAATTGTTAGTTTCCTCCTGTGTTGTTTTAGAGCTTATACAGTGCTTTGATCTCTACACGTATCAGTCTAGTTTAGCAGATGTTTAATAAAGTCTGGTTTGTGTAGAATGAGATGTTGAATGAGATAAAAATTTGACATGGCCTCTGTCTTCATAGAATGGAGGTCGTTGCAGGTGCCTAAGAAAATGAGGGTGAGGGCCTATGTTAATTACAGTATGAATAAGGGAGAAAAGTTGCAATTGACAGGACTTGGTGAATGATTGGATATCAAAGAGAATAGAATTGTATAGATTCATGATGGGTGGGTGTTAGTGGTCACCAAAAAAAATATATTATTTTACATTGTACATGTATTGGATGTAAAGTAGTGTTGTGTGAGATCCTAAAACTAGGAGAAGGGTCATCGTCTAGGTCATGGCTTCTTAAACTTTCCACTTGGGGCCCCTTTCCCATTTTGGCAGCTGGCATCGTGTGGCCTGAGGGCATGCGCAGTGCAAAGTGCTTCAGAGCCAAGGCTGCAGTGAAGTTGTGCGATGTAACCCGGGCAAGCACTGCCAGAAACACCTCAGATTAGTTGTGTTTGATTTTTATTTAATTTTTGGTCATTGCACGTTCAGAAACCCTTTACAGTTGCCAGATTTTTCATGACCTCATATAGGGTCACAACCCACAGTTTAAGAAGCATTAATCTAAGACAGAGGTGTCAAATTAAATATTGGAGGGCTGCCCAAATCAGATTAAAATGTATTTGGGAAATATTTAATAAAATATAACACAACATAGATAATATTTGTGGTTTTCTAAATCAATATGTGACTCTACTTGAGTTTAACAACTTTGATCTAGGGGGATGGGTAAATAAATGGGTCTTAAGTTGTGTAGGTAGGCAGGAATTCAAAAGATTAAGAGGAAGTGGAGTTATAAATCAATCTTGAACAAAAGCGTGGATGCAAGAGAGCACAGGATTGTTTTAGAACAAGTATTAGACCCTTTTAGTTAGAGTGAAGAATGTGTGAGGGGGAGTGATATGAGCTTAAGACTGAAAAGCTAGAGTAGTAGCAGAAAAGTTGGAACTCGACTCAAAGAAGTCAACTGACGGAAAAGTTTGAATTTGACTCTAAGCAATATATAATCATGATTTTTTAATCGGAGGGTTGTCATGACTAGATTTCTACATAAATATTTTGGCATTTATTTGAGGACTGAGTTGGAGTGGGGAGGAAGAGAAGACAGATTTGAAAGGAAGCAATTGCAAGAGTCAAAGCTAATGGTGCTAAGGGCCTGTATTAGGTTGATTACAGTATAAAGGAGAGTAAATGCAATTGACAGAACTTTGTAAAATGATTAGATATCAAAGCTAACCCAAAGATTGCCAATGTGAGATTTCTGGTAAATGTTGAAATGGAGAATTCCTAAGGGAGTGATAATTGCTGAAGCAGAGACATGGAGGAAACAGAAGGGAATGGGATCAAGAATGACAGAGGTTAGATGTGTTAACCTTAGAATAGTGAAGTCAGAATGAAGGGCACATTTAGAGGAAAACATAACGAGCTTGGTTTTGGACATAATTCAGTTTGATGGGACATCCAGGTAAAAGTGACTTGTGGGCAAAGGGAAATGTCAGTCTATAACTTGGGAGAGAGGTCAGTACTAGAGATAAACATTGGAATGTTATCTGCAGAGACTTGAAATCATGAGAGTAAATAACATTGTTGAGAGAAAAGGGTACAGAGCAGGGATGGGGAAGCCCGTGGCCTCAAGACCACATATGGCCGTCTAGGTCCTCAAGTTCAGCGCTTTGACTGAATCCAAACCTCACAGAACAAATATGCTTAATAAAAGTATTCTGTGACATTTGGATTCAGAGGGCTGCATTTGAGGACCTAGAGGGCCACATTGGGCCCAGGGTCACAGGTTCCCCAGCCCTAGTATAGAGAAATAAGACCCAGGATATACCCTTGGGGAGTGCTCACCTTAAGAGGTCAGGAAAATGATGTGTTCAGGAGACAAAGGAGGGGAGAGAGGTACCTTGGAGAGTATTGTGTCCCCAAAACTATGGGAAAGAGGGTATTCAGTAAGATGGCGTGATCAACTGTCAAAAGTTACAAAGCGGTAAAGGAAAAATTGTACTGAAAAGAGATCATTTGGTTTGGCAATTTTGGTGTGGTTAGAAGACCACTTGCTTGGAATGAGGAGAAAGTGGGTGATAAAGTTAAAAATCCATTATGAACAACTTTCTAATTTTATTTAAAAATTTTTCAGTTAACAAGCATTTTTTTTCTCCCATCTGCTTTCTGTCCACCAATAAAAAGAGACAAAGAAAAACAAAACTGGTAACAAATACATATAGTCAAGCAAAACGAATTCCCACATTGTTATGGATAACTCCAAGACGTAAATAATGACAAGTTGAGGGAATACTTTTTTTTCCCCCCAAATTGAGAAAGATTTAGAAAGTTTTTAGGCAGATGTTAGAAAGAATCCTTGGCAAGGGAGAAGTTGAAGATTCCTAAAGGGAATTCCTAAAAGGCAGGTACATGGTACAGTAGATAGAGTACGGAGCCTGGAGTTAGGAGTACTCATCTTCTTGAGTTCAAATCTGGCCTCAGACCCTTCTTCCTTGTGTGACCCTGGGCAAGTCACTTAATTTTGTTTGCCTTGGTTTCCTCATCTGTAAAATGAACTGGAGAAGGAAGTGGCAAACCACTCCAGTATCTTTGACAAGAAAACCCCAAGTGGGGTCACAAAGAGTTGGACATGATTTGGGGGGGGGGAGAGACTGAACAACAATGAAAGGGTAATAAGATTAATTGACAGGTATAAATATTAGCCTTAATTAGTAGGGATGTCTCCTCTGTGACTGGACAGGAGTAATTCTTAGTTATTGTCAGAAATGTATTTTGAAGTAGAATATTTTCACATTTAGTTATTGACAAAATTCTTGGGATTATTTGTGACAAATTTTTTATTCACGGGCTGGCTTATTGTGTCTTTCCTGACTATCTGGGAGTATTCCCCTTCCTTCTGGCTGCACGACAAGAAAATGACCAGTTGCTATGTCTAAGAATATATCTTTCGTGTATGTGTTTGTTTTGCTTAAACTGAATCTACATGGATGTTTTTGGTAATCTCACCTATTTCTTTCTTCAGTCTAGGTGAAGATGTGTCTGTAAAAATTTATTTCCTCTGAAGTACTCTTGATGAACTTTTTGATGAGCCCTGGGTTACCTGTGCTATTGTAGTGCTGTCTTAGAGTTACCTGAATATTAAATTTATCATGAAAAGGAAATGAATGCCGCATCAAATGAGTATGAATAAATGGCATTAAAAATTCATTAACCTGAATATCCTCTAAATGCTTTCCAAACAGATTTCGTTCTGAAGTCAGTGAAGGTGCTGGACAGAATGTTCATAAGCATACTAATAAGAAGGAATTTTCAAATTGTGATGCATACCTGTCTGTAGAAAAGAATAAGTTTGAAATTGCTGCAATAGATGACAAGGCCCAGCCCCTTGTACAGCATGAAACTGGTGATTCACATTTAGAAGTAAAGAGTACCCAGCACCAAGATGAGAGCGTGTCCGTGTCCTCCTCTAAAACTGTTGCTGTTTTACCACAAATGGGATCTAGCCCTGATGTGATCATAGAAGAAATTATTGAAGAAGATCAAGAAAGTAAGTTAAGTGGAATTAAGTTATCTGAATAAAAATGCATATATGTGAGGGAAGGAAGAGAGATAAGCCTCCAGGCTGTCTAGGTGTCTTTCTTACTCTACTAACTGGCTTCCTACTAACATTGCAGATCTTAAGAAGATTGGTATTACCTCCTTATAATCCCAAACCAGTTGTGTCTGTCAGTGCCCCTTTGATTTTTTTCTTCCCTGTCCCTGACTTGTTTCCTCTTTGCACTTTTATAGCCAACTCAATTTTCAGTGTAGTGATAGCTAAACGAGTTTATCTGATTATGTTATTTATAAATGTGATTGGTTTGATAAAGCATTTGAAAAATTAGTTCACATAATTTAGATGTACCATACAATGTGGGACTAAAATGGTACAAGTTTTTGTGTGTCTTCTACAGTCGGTCTCATTTCTTAGTGACATCTCAAATATAAATTCTTTTAGAAATGACTTTCTTGCCTTCAAACATGCCTAGATCTCCCCTATCCTTAAATACTTCACTAGACCCTTCCATCCCCCTCAGGTTCATGTCTTACATTTCTCTTCCCCTTCTTAGCCAAACTCTTGACAAAGCTATTTAAACATTAGGCCTCCACTTTCTCATTCCACATACCCCTTGACAGTTTTATTTCCAGCCTCACTATTCAATTGAAACTGCTCTCTTCAAAGTTAGCAGTGATCTCTTAATTGCCAAATCTGATGGCCTTTTCTCAGTTCTCATCTTGCTTGAACTTTCTGTTGTATTCGATGTGGTTGACTTCCTTGATATTCTTTCCTCTTTGGGTTTTTGTGACACTGCTCTTTCCTGGTTCCTCTCCTGCCTGTCTTAGCATTCCAGTCTCTTTTTTGCAGGCACATTATCCATATCATGCTACCTAATTGAGGTTGAATCCCCAAGGTCTTATCCTAGGCCCCTTTTTTTTTCTTCTGTGTTGTCTCAATAACTTCATCAGCTTCTGTGGATTTAACTGTTATCTCTATGCAGATGACTTACAGATGTCTAATCCCATTCTCTAATCTATCTAATATCCCATTCTCTTCCTTAAGCTTCAGTCCTGCATCACCAGTTGCCTTGTGGACATTTCAAAAGAGATGTCATGCAAATATCTGAAACAATATGATGAAAGCTAAACTCAATTATCTTTTTTCCCCCAGTATATAGGATAAGAAAAGTAAAGAAGAAAGCAAAATTGGTCATAGTCACCAAAAGCTTCCCATGCCAGGCTTTTCTTTAAGCAAGGCACTAAATGTAAATAAGACTGCAGATTTTCTGTTTAGCCTGTGAAGTTCTTCACAGTGCAGCCACAGCTCCTCTCCAACCTCATCAGTTATTATTCCCCCTCTTGGCACTTTATGATCCAGCCAAATTGTCCTTTCTCTCTTTTTCACATGTGACATTCCAGTCCCATTTCTTTAACTTTGCACTGGCTGTCCCCAATACCTGGAATTCCCCCCCTCTTCACTTCAGAGAATCCCTTTATTCCTTCCAGATCTAATTCAAGCACCATCTGCTACATGAAGCACTTTCTGATCACCCCAACTACTAGTACCCTTCCTCTCAAATTACCTTGTATTAACTAATTTGATTTATTTGTATGTATTTTCTTTATAATCTGTATGTACATGTATTCTTTCTCATGAGAATGTAAGCTTTTTCCAAGTTGCAGTTGTCATTCGTTGTACTTATATCCTCATTGCCTAGCACAGTTCCTGGCATATAGAAGGTACTTAATTAAATAAATGCTTGTTGGTTGGTTATTTCAAAATGACAGTGAACAGGCAAACTTCAGGTAATACTCTTACTACCATTAGAATGCTTTAAGAATTTCTGGCAAGTTGAGAGAATCTGTCATTCCATTACTTTCTGATGCAATGTGTCTTGCCATTTCAGGCATAACTTTTGATATTGTATGCTATTGTCATTATTAACAAGATTAATACAATTGCATTTATTTCTTATTTTGGTGAAGCATATTTCATAGAACATATTATGGAGGTTCCTAGACATCAAAAAAAGCCTTTGCAGAAAAAGTCGGTACCTTTTGGACTGAAAGCAGGTAAATTGCAACAACTACATATATTTGTTTTTGGTTTTGTTTTTTAGGCAATTGGGGTTAAGTGACTTGCCCAGAGTCACACAGCTAGTTAAGTGTCAAGTGTTTGGTCTGAGGCCGAATTTGAACTCAGGTCCTCCTGACTTCAGGGCTGGTGCTCTATACATTGTGCCACCTAGCTGCCCCTACATATATTTTGACTTTGTGAGATTTGCAGTATGTATTGTAACACCTCATTTATCTAAATTTTTTTTAGAAATAAGGTGAATTATCTTGGTAGCTAAAACTAACCCATTTAAGTTCTAAACTCTATGAAGCCATTTTTTTATGAAAGTCTTTATGACTTCTTTCTACTTTTTTAAAGTATATGGTGAGGCTCACCTGCAACCCCAGCTACCAGGGAGACTGACTGGCACATCTCTCGAGCAGGAGTTCTGAACGGCAAAGGGCTATGCTGAGCAGATGACTGTACCTCAGTTCAGTATCAGCCTTTGTCCGTTCCCATAAACCCTGCCTCCCACACCCCCCACAAAGTTATAGATGATAGATGTATGAATAATGCTAGTTGTATACCAGTAATGAGAAGAAAAGGCTGTCTCATACATTGAAGTCAAATTGGTTATAATCAATGTTATCAACCTCTAAAGCTCTTGAAAATTCTAGGGATTCCCTCAAATTGCTCAACCCAATCCTCTACCTTTTCCTATTCTGTTTAAATCTGCAGTTCATCAAGGGTCAGCATTAGAAAATAAGAAGTCATGTTTTGTTTGAATATTTTTCCATTTTGTTAAATTATCAGTATTGCAAAAGTATTACTTTCTTCTGTTCATTTCTGGGATGACTAGGCTTGTTTAGGGGTAACCTGGGACTCTTTAACACCACCATGTCCAACCTTGTTTTAAAAGGAAAATGTGTTTTAACTTCCAAACAGCTGACTTGATGAACTTGGGGAACAATGCTCATAGGCAAATTGTGAATAGACCATATTTTCACAGGGCTGAAGAATTTATTATTTTAAGTGTTCCATGTGTTGTGACCGACAACCTGTTCTGTTTTGAACATCTTTTAGGAACCTTGAATGTTGTAGAGATTGGAACATTGATTTCTCTAGGGAAAAATGTCATTGCAAGTTATTCTTTGTAAGGGTCATTAATTAGAACCCAACATATCTTATTCATTTGGATTGTGTGATGATTCTCTTCTACAGGTTCTCTAGAGCTAGTTTTTGTGAGCCATGTAATACATCCTTGCCACTTTTATATTCGGAAGTATTCACAAAGAAAAAATGCAACATTATTGGAAAAGAAGTTGAATCGTTTTTGCAACAAGAGTCTGTACCTCAGTCCTTCAGATATTTTGGAGCTAGGTAATTAAGAAATATATCACTCAAAAATGTTAATATTTTTGTGTCAAGGATACTTCAATATAGTAATTATTGACTCAGTAGGTAGAGGAATCTGATTATAATGGTTTTGCTCCTGAATAGCAGGAAGGATGTAGTAGTCTCATAAATGTTACTTTGTTATATTTATGTAAGTTAATTTAACACATACTATATACTTTTAAACTTTTTAAATGATAGATGACTAAAATTATTAAATGCTCAGGGTGAATATAGCATTATTCAACTTTCTAGCCCATGGTGAAGGAAATATTTTTGGAGATATGATCAAGTGGAACCTACAAAGAAAAACAGTTAATTTATTGTCCTTTTGCTTATACAGCAGTTTTACTGCAGCATGCTTTTTGGATTACTCATAGGTGTTTTCCAAATAGAAATGTTGACTAACTATGGCCCCTTAATTTTAAATGCACAAACTAGGATTACATATAGCAGAATTTTTAGAACAGGGACAGAACTTTATTTTGGGAGGGAAGGAAGTTTTGTTTGTTTGGTTTTTTTAAATTTTAACATTTTTAAAAATTTTAGTTCCATATCTCTCTCCTCCAGCCCCTCCCCCACCCTTTGAGAAGGCAAGCAGTATGATACCCATTGTACATATGAAGTCATGCAAAACACATTTCTGTATTAGTCATGTTGCCAAAAAAAATGAAGTGGGGAAAAAATATGCTTCACTCTCTACTCAACTCATCAATTCTCTTTCTGGAGATAGCAGTCTTCCTCATGAGTCCTTTGGAATTGTCATGGATTATTGGCTTGATCAGAGTAGTTAAGTTTTGATCTAAGATTTGATAGCTAACATTTGATCATTGTTATGGTATTGCTGTAACTGTGTACAATGTTGTGGTTCTGCTCACTTCACTTTGCATGAGTCTTCCAGGTTTTTCCTGAAACCATCATGCTCAATCATCTCTTAGAGCACAATAGTATTCCATCACAATCATATGCCACAGTGTATTCAGACATTCCCCAATCTGTGGGCATCCCCTCAATTTCCAATTCTTTGCCTCCATAAAAAGATCTGCTGTAGGTATTTTTGTACGTGTAGGTCCTTTTCCCTTTTCTTTGATCGCTGCCATACAGACCTAGTAGAGTTATTGCTGGGTCAAAGGGTATGCATAATTTTATAGCTCTTTGGGCATAGTTCCAAATTGTTCTTCAGAATAGTTGAACTAATTCACAGCTTCATCAGCAGTGCTTTAGTGTCCTTATTTTTCCATATCTCCTCCAGAATTTGTCATTTTCTGTCATGTTAGCCAATCTGATAAGTGTGAAGTAATACCTCAAACTTGTTTTAATTTGCATTTCTTTAATTAGTGATTTAGAGCATTTTTTTCATACAACTATTGATAGCTTTGATTTCTTCTGAAAAATGTCTCTGCATATCTTTTTACCATTTATCATTTGGGGAATGGCTCTTATTTTTATAAATTTAGTTCAGTTCCCTATATGTTTGAGAAATGAAGTATCAGAGAAATTTGCTATGCAAAATTTTCCTCTGTTTTCCTTCTAATTTTGGCTGCATTGGTTTTGTTTTTGCAAAAACTTTATTTTTTGGAATCTGAATTACTCGTTTTACCTCCCATAACCCTCCCTATCTCTTGTTTGGTCATAAACTCTTCCCTCATCCATAGATGTAACAGATAAACTATTACATGCTCCCCTGATTTGCTTATGATATTCCCCTTTATGTCTAAGTCATGTAGCCATTTTGACCTTATCTTAGTATTAAGATGTAGGACTATGCCTAATTTCTGCTGGACTGCTTTCTATAGTTTTCCCAGCAGTTTTTGTAAACTAGTGAGCTCTTGCCCTACTAGTTGAAATCTTTAGGTTTGTCTAACATTTAAGTTACTATGGTCATTTATTTTTGTGTGTTGCAGACCTGATCTGTTCCTCTCATTCACCATTCTATATCTCAGCCAGTACCAGATAAGATTGTTTTGATGATTACCATTTTATAGTATAATTTGAAATTTGGTACTGCTAGATTGCCTCACTTCATTTTTTTTTTATTGATGCCCTTGATACTCTTGACCTTTTATTCTTCCAGGTAAATTTTGTTATTTATTTTTCTAGCTTTATAAAATAATTCTTTGGTAATCTGATTGGTTGGTATGGTATTGAACAAGTCATTTAGGTAGAATTGTCATTTTTATTATATTGGCTCAGTCTATCCATGAGCGATTAATATTTCTCCAGTTGTTTATATCTGTCTTTATTTGTATGAAAAGTGTTTTGTAATTGTTCCTATAGTCCTTGGATTTGTCTTGGTAGGTAGACTCCCAAGTATTTTATATTGTCTGCAGTTATTTTAAATGGATTTTCTCTTTCTATTTTTTTCCTGCTTGTTTGTAGCATATAGAAATACTGATGATTTATATGGATTTATATTATATCCTGCAACTTTTCTGAAGTTGTTAATTGTTTCAGCTAGATTTTTAGTTAATTCTCTCAGGTTCTTTTAAATAGACCTTCGCATCATTTGCAAAGAGTGATAGTTTTGTGTCCTTGTTGCCTATTCTTACTTCAGCTTATTTTTTTTTATCTTACTGCTGTAGTTATCGTTTCTAGTATAATATTGCAGTTATGGTGATAAATGGACATCTTTGCTTCATCCTTGGTCTAATTAGAAAAGCTTCTAGCTTATCTCCATTTACAGATAATGCTTGTTCTTGGTTTTAGATACTACTTAATCATTTAAAAAGGCTCCATTTATTCTTGTGCTTTCTGGTATTTTTAATAGGAATGGGACTTGTATTTTGTCATAAGCTTTTCCTGCATCTATTGATATGACTTTTGCTATTTTTGTTATTGATATGGTCATCTTTGCTTTTAATTTTTCTAATACTGAATCAGCCCTTCATTCCCGGTATAGATACCAACTGGACATTCTTTGGTCTTTGTGATACATTGCTGTAATCTCCTTGTTACTATTTTATTTAAATTTTTTGCATCAATATTCATTAGGGAAATTGAGCTATGGGTTTTTTTCCCCCTCTGTTTTTGCTATCTGTGATTTAAGTATCAAAACCATGTTTGTATCATAGAAGGAATTTGCTATATGACTTCGTTTTTTCAATTAGTTTATATATAGTAATGAAATTCATTGTTAAGTGTTTGGTAGAATTCACTTGTAAATCCATCTGGTCTGGTAGATTTTTTTTCCCCAGGGGGCTGATTTGTGGCTTGTTCAACTTTTTCTAAAAAGGTTATTTAAATATTCTATTCCGTGTCTTGTTAATCTAATCTAGGGAATTAATATTTTTGTAAATAGTCAGTTTTATGGCATATAATTGGGCAGAATAGCTCAATAATTGCTTTAATTTCTTCTTCATTGGTGGTGCATTCACCCTTTTAATTTTTAATACTGACAATTTGGTTTTTTCTTTTTCTTTTTTAATGAATTTAACCATTGGTTTATCTCTCTTATTGTTTTATTTTTGTTAGTAAAACTAGCTCCTAGTTTAATTTATTAATTCATGAATGTTTTGTTTTTTCAATTTTATTAATCTCGCATTTTATTTTCAGGCTTCTTATTTTTGTGTTTAGTTGGGGATTTTTTTCTTTAGTTTTTTTAATTTGCTTTTCCAATTCATTGATCCTGATTTCTTTTGTTGATATAAGCATGTAGAGATATAAATTTCCCCATAAGTACTGCTTTGGCTGCATGAGACAGAGCTTTAGATATGTTCTAGGCCAAGCCCTTAATTTTACAGATGAGAAAACAAATTGAGAGATGTAAGTTTTCTACAGGTCATATATCCAGTTGGATCTAGAATATAGATCTTTTGGGAAAAAGTTGTGGAAGAAGGGGCAAAAGAAAGATGAGCTGAAGAAAGAAGGGAATCTTGAAGGTGATTTGGAGGGAATATTTGGGGAAGATGGAAGGAGCAAGAAGAGGGTTTGGCTTGGAGAAAAGGGAGAGAGAGGGGTGCCTGAGATGAGAGAAGAAAATGAAGGAAAGATAAAGTTAAAAAGCCTGAGGAGAAAGGAGCTGCTCTTACAGTTGGCAAGGTGCCAGTGAGTTGAAATTGATAACATTAGGCCCTGAGAAACAGCTGACTACAGGAGTGGTCCAAGGGGAACAAATAGCAAGAAAGACAAGAAGTGATGGAGAGCAAGTAAAACTTGGCAGGCACCTGCACTGAATGCAGTGTTTGCGTTTCTGTCAGGACCACATAACTGTTATCTATACTCCGTGCAGACTGGTCTTCCTTCTAGTCTCTATTTTTTTTTTCCCCCGGTAAGGCAGTTGGGGTTAAGTAACTTGCCTAGGGCCACACAGCTAGTGTGACCAAGTGCTATCAAGTGTTTGGTCTGAGGCCATATTTGAACTCAGGTCGTCCTGACTTCAGGGCTGGTGTTTTAGTGACTGCGCCACCTATCTGCCGCATGGTCTTACTTCTGGGACAAATAAAGGGGCTTGACTAGCGTGTCTGTGTGTCTCTTTCTGTCCGTCAGTCTGTCTCTCTCTATGTCCATCCCTCTCTCTCTCTGTCCATCTGTCTCTCTCTCCCCGCGTGTCTCTCTCCCCGCGTGTCTCTCTCCCCGCGTGTCTCTCTCCCCGCGTGTCTCTCTCCCCGCGTGTCTCTCTCTCCCCGCGTCTCTCTCTCTCCCCGCGTCTCTCTCTCTCCCCGCGTCTCTCTCTCTCCCCGCGTCTCCTCTGCGTCTCTCCTCCCCGCGTCTCTCTCTCTCCCCGCGTCTCTCTCTCTCCCCGCGTCTCTCTCTCTCCCCGCGTCTCTCTCTCTCCCGCGTCTCTCTCTCTCTGCCTCTCTCTCTCTCTCCCTCTCTCTCTCTCTCTCTCTCTCTCTCTCTCTCTCTCTCTCTCTCTCTCTCTCTCTCTCTCTCTGCCTCTCTCTCTCTCTGCCTCTCTCTCTCTCTCTCTGCCTCTCTCTCTCTCTCTCTGCCTCTCTCTCTCTCTCTGCCTCTCTCTCTCTCTCTCTGCCTCTCTCTCTCTCTCT